TCTTTTGAATACACAAAAATAGAGAAAAATAGAAACTGAATTGAAGTTCAAGAGAAAGTGATAAGTGAAAAAAGAATAGTAGAAATAAAGTACTATGTGTATTACTTGTGTAATTGATGATTACATGTTTGTAACTTCATGTAATCATTTGTTACGAGTTCTTTCAGCTTATTACTACATGTAATTGTTGAATTACATGTAGTTATATGTATGTAATAAAGTTTGATTGTCAGGAAGGAGATATACGGCTCACGCTCACACCCGGGGCCCCGAAGCCACGAGGCGCCCTGGAGGGGCACATGGCCGTGGCCAGGGCTTAGGCCACGCGTGGCCCTCACCACAAACCCTTCATGACCTTCATAGTGCATGAAGTTCAGCTTAATTCCCCTTCAAAGAGTGCCTTAAGCAGGGAGTAGCACCTGAAGATGAGTTGGGCTATGATCAAAAGTTGTTTCAAGGGCAGGCCACACAGGGCTGGGCAGGGCTGGGCCACGGCCCTGGCCACAGCCCTGGCCACGAAAAAGGTGCCGGGTGTGAGCGTGACATACGGCTATGTCCGTGTATGCCCTTCCTGACATGTCTTGTGTCTTTTCCAAATTAGGGCTGCGACCCGGCCCTGAGTGTGACGGGGCCGCCCCGGGGCATCGCCCGGCCGCGAGAAGACCCGAGGACCTCTCAAAAACTCTCAGGGCCGACCAGGGCACGCCCTGGTCGAGGCTTAGGCATTGAAGGCAGCCATTAGGCTCAATTGAAGGCATAAAAAAGTAGCAAGTTTATTTCAATTCATTTATAAGACCTCTACAACTTGGTTACTTGACTATAATAAAAAATCTCGGGTAGAAAACTTGTTTTATCATTTATTCTCATGTATAGAACGGTATAGATCTCATGTATAGAACGGTATAGACAAGCTCTAATAGCCTGATGAGGAGATCAAGAAAACATCACAACACATTGTTCCAACTCTTGAGACAAACCTGGGCCTCGAGATTGGTAGGAGTGAAAGAGGCACGGTGGTCGGACATTACCCTCAGCGCATTAGAAAATGTGCGCTCAGTAGGAGCACTCGTGGCTGGAACTGCAAGCATGGCTTTTGCCATTCGTGCCAAGTTGGGCCAGTGTCGTCCGGCGGTGTCCCAGTAGACGAGAGGTTTGCATATCTCATCCTCCTGAGGAGCGGTGAGGTATTCTTTGACTTCATCTTCAATCGGAACGGTCTTGCGCCTCTTGATGTAGTGTTGAGGTCGGTCCAGGTTGAGATCCGTTTCCTGAGGTTCAACTATCTCGATTTCGGGGTTGAGAGAGGGTGTGAAATTGGTCGCTTGTGATATAAAGTAACTAACCAAGTCTTCATGTCCCCAACCAAGGGACTCCATCGTTTGGGCCTTAACAGCAGTAAGTTTGAGACGCGGGTCAAGTATGGCAGCACAGATGTAAACAGCTTTGGTCTCGGCGGCATTTTGATATTGAATTATTTTCTTGATCATCGGCTTGATTGCCACCTTGAGTTCCTTACATTTGGAATCAGCCCATGCCTATATGCAAATTGAAAAGTTCCAAACAGTCAGTTTAATCAAGTGAACGATTGAAAAGCAAAACAAAAATTATACATTACCTTTTCGAGCCTTTTGACCAGCCACTGATAGTCAGGCATGACAATAGAAAACGTGGGGTATGAATGACCCTCGATCGTGTTCGTAACGGTAGCAAGAGGTCCCAAGAACTGCACTAAACTTTCAACTAAGATCCACTCCTCGTGGTCGAGTTTAAACACCTCGAGAGCTGGGTTACAGTTGAACTGGTATTCCAATACAACCCTCAGCTCAACAAATCGAGCAAGTGAAGCGTGCGTGGAAGACCAGCGGGTTGAGACCTCATGAACGAGTCCAACCTTGCGATTCAAAGTGGCACATGAGGCAATTGTGTTGTCGAGTGAGGTCTTGAGCTGACTAGAATGCTTGATTTTTTTGTGGAAGGCTCGGATCCGGGTGAGAAGGCTACTTATCTCGGAGGTTGAGGTAGGCTCAATAAACAACGGAACAGATGAATGAGTTCGAGGTATGGCGGGATCAAGTAGATCGATAGGTTCAGGTTGGGTCTTTCGGTCAAATACCGCCAACCCAGCTTTAGCCACTAAATTAATTACATGTGCTACGCACCCATGGAGGCTTTGAGATGAATTGAAATGAGGAATCAAGGTCAAGAGGCATTGTCCCATTGTGGTATTGTTGGACGCGTTGTCAGCGGTGATACAGTAAAGACGGTCAGAGATATGAAAGGAATCCAAAATGGTCTTGAGAAGCGAAGCGAGGTTGGAGCCAGTGTGGGGTCCATCGATGGGCTTCACAGCGAGAGTGATACCGCGGAGAGAAAAGTCTTTGGTGATCCAGTGTGCGGTGACACCGAGCATGGCGATATTCGTCGGAGACGTCCATCCATCACAGGTGATGGAGATGTGGTCAACAGAAGAAAGCATCTTGATGATTTGATTTCGACTAGTTTGAAAGGTATCTAGAATTCCATCGGTGATGGCGGTTCGTTTGGATAGGAGGGTGAAAGCTGTGGGGTTGATCATGTTGATCACCTCTCGAAATTCTTTGGCATCGACAAAAGATATGGGGACCTCTTGATTGACAATCATCCGGATCAAAACCTCCTTGAGGTTAGCTCTGTTGAGCGGTTTGACCTAAAAGTAATATCATCATACTATTATAAGTAATTTTATTATTAAAATGTAAGTCTTTTAATGAATTGACTTACTTTCACAGGTACCCCATCGATATGAAAGGCTGACACAGCGGGTTGATCAGTTTGAACAGGTGCTACAATGTGATGATGTCGGTCAAGATGTCAAATCATCGACTTAGTACTGGCGTGTTTGTCGATGGCAAGAGGTTTGTTCCAGACAGGTGGTTCGGTATCGTCGTCGATGGGATTGGTGGCATCAGCAAATCCAAGTTGTGCTCGGCACACGTTCTTCATCACGCCATCGATTTTCTCGGTAGTGAAGTAAGTCCAGACCCAAGAAGAGTGTATTGTAGTGGTGGTATCGGAAGCAACCACCTCGGAAATGGAATCCGAAGGGGCGAGCAAAGAACAAGAGGACATATTGGCATTGGTACGTAGATGGGAAGAACGGGTGACGGGAGTTGACAGGGTGGGCATGATGGCCACTGAATGCTAATCCAAGACGTGGGTAAAGGGGTAGGGGGTTTCCGATTCGGAGTTACAGTAAGATATTACGTAATGATGATCGTGAGAAACTCAAACTGGGAACAGGGATGAGGGGCTCGGCGCCTCGGTCGGGTCGGGCGCCGGGATGCCCGAGGGTGTTTTGTCACTCTCATCAAGTTAGGTTTGGCTGCCCCGGGGCACGGACTGTGAGGTCAAAAAAAACCCTCGGGCGACTTCGGCCGGGCGGGGTCGGGTCCGGGTCGCAGCCCTATTCCAAATGCACTTGTACATGTAAACCACACATGTAACTGCTGTAAATGGGAAGTGTCAGTCACAATGGTTGGTTTTGTTCCTCAATCATCTACATAATAAGAGCACTTTCTTCAGTGCAAAATGTGTAAAACATGTACCTTACTTTGGCTCATATTTCCTCTCTTTGGACCATGCCTGCATCCTGGGTGTGGAAAAAGATAAAGGGGATTGAAGGACACTCCCCGCAAAACCCTCTACCACAAGGTTATGGAGCGTACAAGTTTGGTGTAAGTCCCTTTCTTGCTTCAGCCTTGCTTGAGGCGGGTGTGGGACTTTGTTAAGTTTAGAACAATCTGAGTGAGAAAGAAGATTGTCAAATAACAAGAATTATGAGTTGGATAAGAAGAAAAGAATTACAGTGAAGAATGAGTAGTAACTCTTATAAAAACTCAAAATACAAAGATGTCATGACAATCTCACATAATCAGAATGAAGTCGGCAAAGAGATTTATAAGCGCATGATAGCATAGACGCGCCGAGATTTTCAATCTCAATTCTTCTCTCCCCTGTGACTCCGGTTGATGCTAGGACAGGGGGTTTAGGAGGGGGATCAAATGCCTGCATAGCACTGCTTTGATCACCACAAGAAAGATGTAATTGAATGACTAATTTTCCACCGTGAACCCAACACGGACGTGTTTGCATAGATGTGTGAATTAACTTTCCGCCCAGAACCCAACTCACATAAAGGTGTTTGAAGAAAATAATAGTCAACACCCCCTTCGGGGGCTTTTGCTCTATACACAAAAGTGTAATGACAGAAACACAAAGTGTGTTTTTTTTGTAAAAAAAAGCAAGGGACACATCCTAGCTGATCAAAAGACATCCGAATTCCTGCTCTGACTAAAAATGCTGTCTCTCCAAGGTATTCTGCCTTATTCTGCACTTTTTTTAACTTGTTCAGTTAGTGTCACAGCTTTTATGCACTGAAAAAAATGCGTGAACCCGGTGTAATCAATCGGAGCCTTTTTGAAAGTTAGGCTCTGTCATTCGACGAACGAAGTTGTGCCTCGCCGACTACCGACCCGTTATAGCCACGATACTTTTGAAAATGGACGCCTACTTGCTCCTGTCGTCTCATCGAATCGGGTGATCGTTGATCGAGCGCTCCGTTCCCTTCAATTTTATCTCGCGGAAACTTACACGGTTTGTGCAGGGCTGACGACGATCAAATGGGACATCCGTTGTATGTGAGGTATGATGGATACCACACTCGATTGTGAGGGTATCCTTCGGTGTTATCATGGTTTTCGAAGTTCGAAAATCTAGGGAGTCTCAATTTTTGGCGCGATCACGGAAGTTGGACACAAATTGCGCTCGAATCTGCGTTTAAAATAATCCAATTCTTTCACCCTATCACAACCTCCTGCAAGCGGGCGTCTAAATAATTTCTAATCCAAATAATTTCTTCTTCCTTCATTGACTTTTTCTCGCCTTTGAGTATATTGTTGTGTTTGACCTTTCGTCACCCGCTCCTCGATTTCCGAACATATCTGACGCACCGGTTGAACAGAATGTTCATTGATGTCCTCTTTGTAGCTTCTATCCTTGCCCTTCATACGACTTTGACAGTGTCAAAACCTGATATTCCTGCACCATGTGCTCACGCCATACCGGCTGAGTGGATTGGCGGTGATCAAAAACCCAAGAAAGGCTGGAGTAAGCTTTTCATTGGTCTCCTGTTATACACACATCTTCAGTTGATCTGATTTGCCTGTTCTTTCCCCTTTGACTTGATCAGAGTGCAGTCCGCAAGGATTCACAGATGAACCTGTACTAGTATGTACTCAGCGGATTGATACCCCACGCAAGTCATGTTTTCTCGTCTCATTTCTCTACGGCAACCATGATGGTTCTTGAAAAATTTTGTCTGAACATCTCACACGAACCGTTCACCTTTATAAACTCCCTTCTTGAATCTATCTTGCACAGCCGCTGTGTCTTGTACCACACAGTCTAAACCGGGGGAGGTCGTTTTATCTCAGTCATTTTGCGACTTGGGGTACTCAATAACCTCCTCCAAAGACGGAACTCTTTCTACCAACACAAAAGGGAATGTAACCGTCGACAAATGTAAGTCGTGTTGATGGATGATCAATGCCATATATCTCTCGGTTGCATAGCTGTCTCAGCTTATCTTTTGAATTCCTTTTTGCGTACGCAAATCAAAAATGATGGTTTCGAGGAAACATAGTTCTCTGCAAAGATTCAGGATTTCCTGAACCACTAATCTGCGATCCGGGAAGTCCCTCTGGCGGTGAGTAAAGAGGTGTTTTCACACCACGGTCAAGTTTGCAAGCTGTCAACTTATATCATACACCTCATTGTCTCCAATAGTCTTCAACTGGTGTTATCCCGGCGCATTTCTCTATAAGGATACACCATGGATTTATAAAGAAGCGTAAGTTTATACAATTCTGACGGGATAAAAGATCCGATATCTTGTGGAGAAGCGGCTAACCTTGAATGCCGCCGAGAAAAGTGCCACCCAGCGGACTAAATCAGAGAAGGTGGCTAAACCTGATAAAGTGGCGAAACCCGATAAAGTGGCGAAACCCGATAAAGTGGCGCAACCCGATAAAGTGGCGCAACCGGATAAAGTGGCGCAACCTGATAAAGTGCAGAAACCTGATAAAGTGGCGGAACCTGATAAAGTGGCGGAGCCTGTGAAGGAGGCCAAACCAGATGGTAATACAAATAATAGTGAAGATGGAGATGAGACCAATGAAGATATTGTTGAGGAAGACGAAGAAGACATCAACAATGATATGTTAGTTGAATATCCTGAAAAATTAATTACTTCTTTAGAAGACCAAGATCATCTGCTGGAATACTAACCACAAATGTATTCATTTTGATTTTGATGAAAAAAACTCGAACAGAAAGAAAGCTAATGGAGGTGAAGATGCCGATGATCGTGGTAAAGCGGCAACAGGTAACATATTTGCAAGTAGTAATTCTACAAGCTCTACAAGTGCTAGCACGAAATTCCCACGTGGAGAAGCGTTCCTGTTTGTCATCATGTGCATTTGGGCAAACATCTAAGAAATGTGAGTCAAGATGAGTTCCCGTCAGACTGACAAATTTCAAGTTAACAGCCACTAATCATTTTCCTTATGTCAGACCTTCCATTGAAAGGCTCTTGCCATCAAAAGCTTGAGTGAGTGCCCTTGGAGAGGGTTCAATGAAATTATCGCTGTAGAAATGACTAAAATTCTCAAAGGGTTTCTGCGATATGATATATGGCTACCTGGAGCCGCCAGATTCTTCGCATGAAACACCAGAACAACTATCGTTTCCTATGTTCTTTCTTACCACTCAAACTCGGTGCTTATATTGGCTTAGGGCTACATGCCATAAAGATTGTAGATGAGTGTACATGTTCTATATACCAGGTTCTGGGTATAAAGACAACAACCAATCATGTCTGTGAAGGCCCTTTGATGGCTTTTGATCCGCACCAACTTTCTATTCACTTATCCTGATTTCGCTGCTTGGACGCAAATGTAAAGTGTAATGAAGATATATACAAATGATTTTTGTTATAACACCGCATAATCAAAGACAAAATCCTAAATTCATATCTTCTTTAGTGATAAGTAAGATGAAAAGTTGTAGATGCCGCAGCTCCTTTTTGGGTGGAGGTGTTTGACATAATTCAAAGTAAGTAGCTTGCTGAACCCCATCCCTTCGACCTCTAGGTTTGGGATACCACTAAATCCTACACAGGGGCAATACTACGTCACAATTTCTGTGTGACATGCAGTAGCAATGGCAAGGATCTTGATCTGAAGTGTGCACTGGCAGTCTATGACGCGCGCCATCTCTTACAAGATGTTCTGTAGAGAAGATACTCATCTTATCCAGGTTACGCAACACAACAGGGCATATGATCAGTATAACAACAGCAATGAAAGATAATATGCAGCAAGTGTCGTGTTTCCAGACATCCAACTACCCATGAAAAATGTTTTAACATGACTTCATTGATGAGAACCGCAAATTTTGCTCGATTGAAAGATGCTCAAACTGAGTCCAAGATCTTCTCCTCCTCACGAGTCAATATATTTACAAACAGTTCCAATGTTTCATTGGATGAGCAGACAATATTGCGCCTATGTTATTTAACAAAGAAATGAGCCTTGTCTTATCTCAATCAAAGCACGATTAAATAGATTACATGGGATCTGATCCATCATCCAACTATTCTCTACTGGTGGTATTAAATAACTCCCAAAGAACAAATTAATCTGCGATTTATCGCGACAAATAGCCTTCTTGACGGCGTGGTAGCTCAGGATCGATATTAGGGGGTTTTGGGGTACGTATAGAGATTGAAGAGTGGATTAAAATACTAGATATATGTGAGATCGGGCCATATTAAGATATATCTATTAATTAGCCCGATTGATATGAATTACGGGTGATAGCCACGCTTCCCAATCTGCATCTTGATTTGGGTCACCGTTGACCTTCAGGGCACTAAGAGGGAGTCAGTTGCTCCGTCGAAAACTTCTCAATGGAATAGTTTTACTCACCGGAATAAAATCTTATAATCCCCATTAGGGGCTGTGATAGTACTAGAAAGATTTTGGATAGACATCAAAGACCCATCCCAGGAGAGAACTTCTGTGTCTTCATGTCTGCCAAGATCGATTTTTTTTCTCAACAATGAAAAGATGTAAGAATTAATTGGGAGGATAAAACTGACGCAGTTCGACAATTATAAGTTGAGTTGCTATCCGGAAGCATTCCAATGATCCGGATACCTCGAAATGTAGACTGAACCAACGCTGAATTTTTTGGCTTTGCCAATTTTTTTTTCGATTTCTTAGCAATTCCATCAAGTTTGGCATCTCCTGATACAAGATCTGTCCGCAGATAAGGTGTCCCGACTTAAGCGATCGACCGAAAATAAAACACAATCTCAGTAATAGACCTTGACATTGCATTTGAATGAGTAGAGGGCTTACAGGCCAAACGATATCGAAGTATCAAACTATTTACTCCTTGAAAACTCACGGACCCATTTGAAAGTGCTTTGGAAGTATTGTCCGTTATGCGCGGGAGTGTGAATCCAGTGAAGTTCTGTGTGTCTGAGGAGCGGTCGATAACTGCGATCGACCAGAAATTTATTCAAAATGACTAGTAAGCTGGCTTCGTGCAAAGTTGATCATGGGAGCTCTTACCTATTTGTTCTTTCATGACGCCATAGACACCATAGTACGGTACATTGTGAGACTCGCACTCAGCTTCCGAAATCTAGATCAAGGAGTCTTGTCAGGCTATCTTATATAATTTAGATGAGAACTTAAATACACCCACAAAGGAGATATACCCAGAATATACTGGAAGAAGCGCTTTGTTTAATCCCCTGGGGGGTTCAAAAGTAAGATGTACCGTTCTACTGGTCCCAGGAAATAGTTTGAAGGAATTCAAGTTCATTTTGACGCTTGCGGGGGTGTGGTCAGTCATTGGGGTGACACTGGTAGCTACATGGTAAGAGCCAGGCGTAAAGGTTGGAAGTGTTTGCGCTGGTCGATGCTTGATCTTAAATGTATAGGTTTTTGAGCCAGCGTTTGTGATAGTGATCGATTGTTTTGACTGGAAGTTTTTCGAGTCCTCTAGTGGAATTGAGGATCTTGACAGAAATGTTTGGGAGAGTGCTGCGCAGTATGCATCGACAAGGCCAGCTCCTTGGTGGATTGCAGCTTCAAAGTCAAATTCAGAAGATGTAAGAGTCAGGCAAGTTGCCTCAGATCAAAGATGCACATAGATTCCACTCACATACTATCTCGTCCTTGTTCGAACCCACCATGATCAACTGACTTGTAGTTGCTAATAAATTCGACGTCTTGGACGAGTTCCAACGCTCACCACGTGCACTGAAAATGAGTGCGATTATTCCTGCAACCTACGTAGGTACCGCGGGAAAAGATCAGTTCAAGCTCGTATGAAAGAAGAAGATATGAAACGTCTTTTGTTGAGAGGAATGCAGACCTGTGGGGTAGCCATTGATGATCCGCTCATCGATGCCTGGGTCGAAATGCAATTAACAACCAAACTATTTGAAGAGCACTTCAAAACGCTCAAACCGAACTTACATAGCTACCTGAACGTCTAGGTACGGTTGCTAGAGTCAAAGGCTCAATCTACCGAAGGGAATCTCAAAATTTTAGATCTCGCATGCTTACAAACTACGTTTCCTCCCACGCCAAGCAAGTCGGGCTGCAAGTTTTTAAAATCATAACTAGGACCACTGAGGATTTTGATCCGAATGGAATAGTATCAGCGAATAGTATTGGATCATATGCTACGTCAGCAAAGTGGAGTGAAGTGGGCAAGAGACATACTATTGTGAAAACGAGCTGATATGTCCTGCATCCGATGCGGATACTATGAACTCATAAGATTAGTTCAGGTGAACCAGATAAGAAGCGCTGCTCATCGAAAACCATTTTGGCGTACATGAAGTGACGGGGAAACATACCAAAGAAGTGAGGTAGCTGGGGAAAACTAACAGTGAAGTTTTTATGGCGTGATTGCGCAACGAGATGACTTGCGTCCTCGTTGGTGATACTTGCCACGGAAACTCCTTGCATATAGGTTTCGAGGGTGACCATATTGGTCCTATCCTATATACAGGCATAGAAGGTCACTTTTGCCGAGATACCTCACTGGATTATACGGAGTGGTTTGTGTTGGTTGAGGTGCACACCATATAGAATAATACTCGACGAGCACCCTTGGCCAAAACATGAGCCACTTTGAGACGAAAAGGGCATGTCCTATAATGATATCCTAAGATACGCTGATGAGAAGCAGAAGCTGGTGAAGATACAGAAAGATAGATGAAGTACTGACCCTCGCTTAATCAAGACGACGTATTTGCTCAGATTTGGTGTGTCGGCTCCCAGGGGGCTACATGCATCACTTTCATTATCCAGGTTCGTTGAAGTCGCGTAAACTAGAAAGTCACTTCCGTTGAACCGGCCTGCTGTGTGATAGAGGAGCTTCTCTCCTGTCGAGGTCAACAAATTTGTTACGATAGTGGTCGATGCCTGTACAGAGCCTACTGAAATCGAACCTGTGGCCGCAGCGGGCCGTTCAGCGAAGAACAATCCTTCCTACCACCGATGGATCAGTGTGAGATCGCCGAGTTGGGGGTTGGGTAGTGGGGTGAATGAGCGAGACAAAAGCAGAGTGGATTGTCAGTTTGTGTATATATTTGACGAAACAAACTGTTACAATCAAAGGCTCGCACGGTGCCCTCGTTCCCGCCCGCAAGGACAAGTACGACCCCTTTCTGTGCCAAATTATTGATAGTATCGGACAGAACATCGCCCTTTGACCAGCCCCCTGGTCCTCCGATAGACGCTGATATGATATCGGCTGTCAAAAATGAACAATCGAGAGTTAGACGCGTATTAGGAACTTGTCACAGAGCTGATGAAATGCTAACCGCCATCCTTAAATGCTCGCAAGAAAGCAGCCACTACGATGTCATTGCGTGTTCCCCCTTCAGGATCACATCCGAGAACTTATATGCACAGCAAGGAGATCAAAATGTGTGGGGATGTGCTGAAGTCAGAAAACCAGAAACGAAATTTGACAACGGACCTCCTAAAAGAAGATCGTAGCATCATAAAAGTTGTCAGCTAGGCCTACACGGGGCACAGGTTTCTGTGGGTATAGCTTGTTACATACTGTACATCCCCAGGGAAGCATTAGGCGCGACACCATCAAAACCATAACCCTGATTCGAGGCGCTAATTATACCACTTGTGTGAGTACCATGCATCTGTTAGGTGAAGTGGACACAACTCAAAGTCAATCACTTCAGAAAAGCAAAGGAGTTTCATCGCTCGCGCTCATATTCCGCGTTCACTTACCGCACATTCAGTACACGGGTTCGTACTTGGGAGAGCCGAGCTGCCGAAATTGAAGGCGTCTCCTACAAAATCATAGCCGAAGCTAACCTTAAAACCTGGTCCAAAACCACCTCCAAAGGCTGGATGACCGCAATCAATACCATCGTCGAGTACTGTTACGAAGTGAGTGAAATCTCAATGACTCATACATAATTGCTGTCCTCGAATCAGAAATGTGGCAGACCTGCGATTTTCACTCCCCGACCGTATATACCTGATCTATGTAAATCTGCAACACGCGTTTGGACGTGTGGACCAAAGTTGTCAGGTGGGAAGCGCTCTAAAGACTGGCTGAGGACCTGTCGCTTCAGTGGCTTGGAGATATGTATACGCTGGACAGACGTAACGCGCTGTTCGCATATGTGAAAATAGATATATAAGTGCCATCATAGATGATCCAAGTCAAGTAAATGTAAATGCGATCATGAGGAAGCACCTTGACAGACGGGGAAAGTTTGACTTTCTCCAAATGTTGCGGATCCTCAAGCCTAATCGTTGCAGCTCGGATGATGTTCGGTGCGATGCTTGACATGTCATTGACCACCTCATGATCAATACCTTCTGATGTCAGATAATCTGATACTTTACTAAATGCCTAGGATATAGATCAAGGTCAGCTTTGCCTCTAAAAAAGGGGCCCATTGCGCAAAATGAAGCCTCTCCAACTGGGCTCAAAACAGACATCGCAGCTTACCGAATCGTCTTCACTATGCATCTCCACAATAAGCAAGTCCTTGTGATCATTGGGGTGCCTAAAGCTAGCCAGAAGGCGATGTGCGTGGTACAGAAACACAAAAAGTGCATAAATTCGACACATAGGGGACTTGTGAGGGGCCATGGCCGAGAGAAAGGCTTCCCCAATCGTAAGGTGTAAGGTGTGTATAACGAGAGAAGGATAATCTTTTGAAAATAGTGGAAGTAAGGCGTTCCTCAACTGGGCATCCACGCACCTTATATATGTATAACCCGGTATACACGTGGCCGAAAATTGTGCGTGGACTTCGACATCTTGAAAGTTGGAAAGGTTGATCTCAGCTGCAGTTGCGGACTGGGTTACCGGCCTTAACTGTATCTAATCGTATCTATCATCTCGGGGCGCCGGCTTGATCGGTGTGATGAACCTCGGAACAGTTGTGCTGTTGTGGGAGCAAGAATTGACATCGTCCAATCTCAATCAATTTCAGATCTACACCAGATGCTCGCCTACGCTCTCTGCCGTTGTGCCACGAGTCCCCAACGATCTGATGACTCTTGTCACCTGTTCCGAAGAAAATTGAGATGAATCTCCGAAAAGAGCCATTGGGTTCGCTATCTGACCCACAGTATCGAACATTCTACACCAGTCCCTAGCAACGGGAAGGCACCGCCAGCTCAACATTCGAGATGCGAGTGTCAGAAGGGGATGTGGGAGAAGGATACAAAGGTATTGCATTTCACAATATTTCACAGTGCTTGAGCGTAGATCATTTTTACTGCTGGAAAGTTCCGGTGACGCTATATAGCGAAGCTCCTATTCTTTCATGTTCAATGTGAAATCTCGGGTCACGTACCTCGCGGCTAGAAGCCCCCAATGAATTGTAAACCAATTCTGAGATAAAACTTCATGTGCGGATATATACTCCCGCTTATTTTTGAGGCCGGAGATATGCCAAGGCCTTTGGATCGCGATGAGGATAAATCTCGACTACTCTGCCATCTTGATCCCCTGCCGAGGTTTTCTTCAACACGGCTTTCTGAGGTAAGAATGAAATATTCTAGAAGCACAGATTGTGAAACTGTGAGAGGCTGACAGAGTATAATAGCACCTACCTACTGCGGATTTTTTGTGCGTGCGTTTTGGGTTCCCTTGAGGAGGTTTCTGATGCATTTACATAGTATCTGAGTTCAAACGCATGCAACAGAACGGTATTTTCCTGAATGTGACGCGGAACGACTTTCACAAAGATCACTGCTCGAGTGCTAGTATGATAGAAAGCACTGAGATGACCAAAGTGGATCGAAATCTGTAAGTAGAAAATAATGCTCGCAAATGAATATATGTTGAATGTAAGATAAAGTCAAAGATCTTTCTGATTTTGTGATCGCCATTTTCTTTGCAAATCTCGGCAACAAATGGCATAATCTTGATCCATATAGCTGACTAATTGACACATAGTGGCATGACCAACAAGGGAAATTTTGAAATAGATATAGTTGTATCATCATCGGAAGAGCTGAAGTGACCAACCACGAGGCAAGTAAAATGCAGTGTCAACGTCTTGAACCAACTAACCACAAACCACACGCACACAGTACCAGAACTGTGAACAAGAATAGCCCTTCTGCCTCACTTTTTTCGTTGAGACATGAACAGCTTCAACATATTCACCTCTTGGCTTATACCCCTTTCTTCAAGATGTCCAAGTGATTCCAATTGTCGTCTGGCAAACAATTTGCAAACAATTGTTTGCCAAAGAAGAAGTCAAATGTTGCAAAGGCTTCTGCTCTCTGTGGCCCGGTGACAAATTGACCCTGGCGCCGCAAAGCGTGTTCAGGTCGGGTTGTATTGTGACCGACGGACGGCGGATGACCGGGTCGGATCGGCTTATCTGAGTAAACTTTTCGTTGAAGATTTCTTTGATGGCTCGATTGCAATCGACGTCATGGCGCTTCTGATCAATGAATCACTGGCCTTATCTGCATTCCGAAGGGCCTGCACACTGATATCTGTATCGAAATCCTTTCAAAACGAAGCCTTCTTCTCTTCGTCATCTTCCAGTGGCAGTCCAAATCCTTTTCAAGTCTTCGATCGACAAGCAAAACTAAAACAAAAAGCTCGAATCCTTAGAAAAGATCCTGAAAAGAGTAGAGCGACTGATTATGTTAGAGAAGAAGTTTCTTTAGGATTAGTGGATAGATTGATGGACATTAAGCGAAAGTATCGGGAAGTGGTCGATTTGGGCTCTGGGTCGGGGGTGCTAGCTAGGGATTTAGAAGAATATGAAGGGCTTCAAAATGTTATCATGACTGACGCTTCCGGTAAGTTTGTTCGAATTGAAAGCATAGAAAACAAGAACTATCTTTCGGATAAAAAACAAAGATGCTGAATGCGTATCTTCTCTTTCCATGTTCTCAGAACCCATGCTTTGGAGGGATCCCAGCATAATTGATAGTAAGGCGCTATTCGGATTTTCCGTTGTGGCACTACCACGTAGGCTCATGTCAATCTGACCATTTTCTTCGAAGAGACCCCTCAATCAAACTCCAGCGTATCCTCATGGACGAAGAATCTTTGAACTTGAGTCCCAACGCTCACGAATGTATAATGTCATGTTTGTCTCTACATTGGGTGAACGATCTACCTGGTAAATATCTTCTTACCAACCCAATCCTCTTTTCGCCAATTTATCTGATAGTCTTTGATTTATCCATAGGCACCCTTGTACAGATCAAAAATGCTTTAAAGCCTGATGGCGTGTTCATCGGTGCGATGTTTGGTGGCGACACATTATTCGAACTAAGGCACGTAGCCTTTGGGTACCCGCACAAATTGTCCTACTTTTCAAACTCTGACCTCATATATATTCCAGAACGGCTTTTCAGCTTGCTGAACAAGAGCGACAAGGTGGTATCTCAGCGCGAGTTTCCCCGATGACAGGTTAGATCAGCCATTTCATCAAATTTTATATCGTGAATAATGAGCCAAAGCCAAAGCAGGTGATCATATGATGATATCGTTTTAGACTGTCGCTCGATGTCATCTCTCATCAACAGAGCTGGATTTTCAATCCCCACTGTTGATATCGATGAGGTGACAGTTCACTATCCAAGTATGTTTGAACTGATCGATGATCTGCGCTGGATGGGTGAAAGCAATGCCATACTGAATCGGTCAGTACATTATACCAAAAGTTATTTCTTCTGAGCGCTTCAAAGGCGTCTTTCAACAAGGGTTAGAGCTAATTAGTAATACCTTATCAATCCATAGTCGACCGTTCCTTCGACGCGATACACTCTTGGCTGCTGCTTCCATTTATGAAGGTACATGTTTACTCACTCCTATACTGGACTGCTGTTACATTTCTTTTGCTTTTCGCTGAATATTTCAATCTTTTAGCTCTATATGCAAAGACAGACAAAGAGAAAGGCACAAGCATCCCAGCCACATTCCAAGTGATCTATTTCATTGGTTGGAAGCCTGATGCGAGCCAGCCCAAACCGCTCGAAAGAGGCAGTGCCGAACGTAGTCTCAAAGAACTTGGCACTGGCTCTGCCCTCTGAAGATATTGCTTCTTTTCCCGTGCCTGCAATTGTGAGTTTTGAGCTAATCTTTTTGGCGATCGGCACTAGAGGCCATCTCTTTGGGTTACTTTTACGCAATCATGTCTTTCCGATTAGCCCGAGAATCTGTTGTATGGATCTTTTGTCTGTCGCATAGAAAGAAAGACTTCACAAATCAAACTGTAGAATAAAGATTGCTCGTGATGCCCCAGAGCCAAGAAGACGGTGGGGACACAGCAGGTTGGTCCATGTCTATTTATTTGGCATGAGGGACCTAAAACTCAATTGAAATAGAGATATACAACCAATATAAATATAAGTATAGTGAATTATTGGAATCAAGTGTTAGGCAGTTCAGGCAAACATAGTGCCTGTCCGTTTACTTGTTGCTCCGAAAATTATCTCGGGCAATGTGGAGCAGGCTCTTCTTGCTTGGCCACTCTTTATCCTTAGCCTTGCTGCACTTGAAGTATCCAATGTGGCTTCAAAGTCTATGTGATGCCGACTGAAGAACACTGATTCTCTGACTCTCATCCCTGTCACTAACCATGGTTGACAAAGGTGGGAAAAACTGAGATGATCCGATTCCTGCAGCACCTCCGGGCACCTCCGAGGCTCCTGTGACTTTAAGCTGTTTGCTACACTCTGCCTGTACTGGTGGCAAAGGTTTTACCTTCACTGATGGAAAATTATCTATCAGTCTCTATAATGGTGCGTTAATCTATTCCCACAGTGGCGAAAATGAGCCCTACAGTATCTGATTTTGAGGTGAAATTTAGAAAGCAATTGCGATCACAGCCCAGAAAAACAAGTATCCCAAAGACTATTTCAATCATGAGGGAACTCTTGATTTGTCACGTGACATGAGTGTCTGTCGATAGGAGCAATTCTTCAAAGTTTCTCAGCATTTTTGCTTTGAGAAGTCTGTCTTCGCTGATGGGAAGTATTTTGTTCAACAGTTTTTAAACTAGAATAGTAACTGGCTTTTGTGATTAAGGACTGGTAATAATTGAGGGAGGTTCTATGACTGTTCCATGGAGCATAAGTTCTGCACTCATTTATATTGGAAAGGACTTCTGTTTTAGGAAAAGTTATGAGATATGGGATAAAGAAATATCACAAGATAGTCAGCTGCTGCAATAGCCAGAACTTGGGAATTCTTACACTACAAATGATTTGATTCAAATATCATCCACTAGAGATCAGGAAGGGAAAACCATGAGCTGCATGGAATCAGAGGTCAAATACTGATGTCATGTTCCACAATCACAGTTTTTATATCTCTGAAAAAACCAAGCAGATTATCAACATATATCTATGATCAATACATGCTCAATCTCACGACTTTCTGATGATAGCTGATGAAACAACCATTAGTATGAGAAATGAATTTTTGATGAGCCAACGAGTATCAAAATGCTTACTTTTTAGTCTCTGATGACATATGCACCAGCTGTGACGCAATTTTGCCAGAATCAGGAAAAGGCTATATATTCGAGGATGCATCCTGTTTTACGTTCAGCTGGCCATCGTCAATTCATCTTGACCACATTGGCTGTGGGCAGTGCGCATATAGCCGAAGGGTAGGGATACCAATCATGGCTATGGATGTATGGGTTTGAGTAGGTCTATTTTTCTGGTAAATTGGCTGCCTTTCACAGGTTCACACTTCATTTCAGTCACCATTGGTCATTTGGACTCAGCAAGGCTCAGCAAAACCTACTAGAAGATCCACATATCAGATTGCAGTTTACCATTCAATCAGCTTAATAAAAAAATGATATCAAACTCCATTCCAAATGGTATCAACGCCAACACATCAACAGCAACAGCAACAACAAATCAAATCGATAAGAATCAACCAAACTATGATCAACTATTGCCAGGTGAAGGAAACCTTTGGAGTAGTATCTTAGATAGTGTTTCAAACAATCGAGAAAAGGGCAACTTACCAAGTAAAAAGTTACTTGTTCTAGGTCAGCAGTAGCAAAATCAATCATTTTTGAAATCCTTTTACTGTTTTTCTTATCAACTGACATTCTTTTGTTGATGATACGATTTCAGGTGATCGGAATACTGGAAAATCTACTTTGGTTTCATATCTTTCGGCAACAACACCTCCTACAATTCCTACTATTGGTGGTAATTCAACCATACCAATTCCAGAACCTATAACGCGAGATCCAGATGACGTTGATATTGGTACAAGTTATACAACAGTAGATATTGGAGATGATAATGACGATGGTGTGTTTCTGTGATTGAGATTATCGAACCAACAATATCAGTTGCTTAATCGAATTTTGCATAACCGTACTTCTAGATGCACTCGCTAGGCTATCAATTCATCAAATCCCTTCTTGCTCACCACCTTACTCAAGCTTACTTCCACTTATCTTGAACCCCGAATCACTCAAAGAGGTATTTTTCAAATAGCAAAATGTCTATTTCTTGACTATACTCCTTACATTGGAACCTTTTCTTTCCATAATTAAGATCTCGCTTATTGACTATGGCTCTACGTTTTTCTTTGTTGCTTCGATCGTCATATCATTGGGGACTTTGTGACGGGTTCGGCGGTGGATTTCGAATGTTATAGTCATTGATCATGGTCTTAATTCCCTTCACCCATCCTCACTCGCTACTGGCTTCATTGGTCAGGTGGATGGCTCTCATTCAATCAGTGATTGAATCAATCAAACAGAGTACTAAACCACCTGATAAGGCTCATGGTACTGGTGACCGAGGCGAGTTTGTAGTGGAGGAGGCTAAAGAGGCATTAGAGACACATTATCGATCATATGTCGAACCAGCCGGACCTCCTCAATCACCATCTCCTAACGAGTTTCCAGAAACTGTCAATGGAAATAACGCATCGATACATCTCGAAATCCCATTACCGCCGGGTACATTGACTGAAAACCCAGGAGTAGGGGTAGTGGTCGTATGTACAAAGGCAGATCAGATTGATCAATTAGAAAAGGAAAAGGACTTCAAGGAAGAACAATTTGATTTCATTCAACAAGTTTTACGTTCAATTTGTCTACGGTTTGGTGGTGCACTATTTTTTACGAGTGAGAGGAAACCAGAAACCATCGGCCGACTGAGGTCATACGTCCTACATCGACTTTTCGGTCAACTAGAATCAACAAGTTCGACAGCGGCCACAGTCACGACCGGAGGTGCTGCAAGTAGTTCTCGATTATTTCCATTCCCTTACAAAGCCAATGTGATTGACCGTGATGAGGTGTTGATACCGATGGGTTGGGATAGTTGGGGAAAGATCAAGATCTTGAGAGATGGTTTTAATCCGGCAGTTGTGGGTAATGGATGGTTATTGGATATCGAAAAGCACCGTCACACGCTCGCTAACCCTGACACAAGTGGTGGAGGAAATCAACCGAATGAAACTGAAGATACAAGTTGGGATAATGAAGGTCGTAAGATTGTTAGTGCTTGTAAATTATGGGAAGATATGATTGGAGAACCGGATGATGATATGCCTGTAAGAATTTGATTTAGATTGTACAGTTTTTTCTCTGATTAGTTAATCACTGATGATGATGTATCTTGATGACTTAGTCTTTCGCATCACATGATCGAGTCACAGTTTCACCGGAACAACATTTTCTGAAAGCCAAGTATGAACAAATCAAAAAAGAGCGAGATCTTGATCCACGTACACACTTTCAAATGAGTACTAAAGGTCACTCGGCGCAACAGAGTGCTAAATTTACTAATGGTACATTACTTTCTGATAAGAACGGATTGGTACCTGGTTCATCCTCACTTAGTGTTTTGAGCGCAGAAGAAGAGATGAACGCTCGACTCAATAAACTTTCTATGAGGGTAAGACAGAACTCTCGTCTCATCTTACAAATAAAAGTAAAAACTACTGAAAATTGACATTGGATGATTTTTCTTCCATAGGATTCTTCTGGAGTCAGATCTACAACTCCAGCACTTTCACCAGTAGAACTACTACATCTACAACAACAACAAGCACAAGCTCAATCGCCACGATCACCAAGACCATCACTTACTAATCATGCTTCATCCAAACTTTCATCATCAAATCTTTCTAGGTCTAATTCGACTGTCGCAGGTACAGGTGCACCAGCAGAAAAAGAAGTACTTGCAAGTTTCTTTGGTAGATTACTTGTGAAAGACCCCACCGGTTCTAGTAGAAGTAATAATACTACTACTGTAGGAAATGGAAGTAAATCTACAAATAATAATATGCATTCTAGGAAAAGTAGTCTTAGTTTACAAGAAGGTGGGAGTAGTGAACCTGGTGGTAATGATGTTTGAAGAATGAAAATTCCAAACCATGAGACAATGGAATTGGATGGATGGATGGATGGATGATGATGGATGATATGATGTAGTTAACCTTTTTGTTTCAATCAAAAAGAATTAATTGAAGAAGTTCTACTTTTAGGGTTTCTCATTTGTTGTTTTGTTTTGTTTTGTTTTAATTTCAGTATTTTTTTTTGTTTTATTTTGGTTTTGTCATGTCTTGGAGGTTGATGAAAGTTATTTTGTTTTTTTTTGAATTTCTAACAAAAGCTTTTAAAATTTTATTGAAATTTTTTTATTGGTCGTTCTTTTTTCTATAAGTTCTTTTTTATCAATTTCATTGAGTTAAGGGGTTTTTCATGGGTTTTTTTTGAAAAAAGTAGATGAATAGTTATATAGATGAACACTTTTTGATTGAGATCTTGATGAAGCCAAATGGAGACCAGGTTGAAGTCTCATTCTAACTTCAATATGTTAGTCTGCTGAAGGAGATCCAATCCAAGATTTTATTGATGGGTCCAGAGTACACAAGCGAGATGAAAACCACACACTTAGGTTCATCTCAGCTTGAAAAGTTGGTGGAGGCCAGAGTTCTAAATTGTTTTAGGTAAGGGTCATGTTTGGTCAGGTCTTACTATCCACAAACAGTCATAATCACTTCCAAATCAACTTATCAGTGAGTCAACCAGATCAACTTGGGTAGGTAAATCCTTCACCAGAAAGGCGAGGCATTGAATTTGGTGCAAAGAGATATCTTAGGTTGAGTATCAGCTGGAGCAGCAAATAAAGAGATAAAGGAAAGGTGTAAAGGAAAGGTGAAGAACACCTTTCCTGGGCTTCTCCAGTAGTCTTATATAGTGAGATGACAACTAGATGCCACACAATGAACATGTTGCTAAGCAGAAATATGAAAGAGAGTATCAAATGTAAGTCACACAGGCCTGTAGAGAACGCTAGTCTCATAGGACTTTTGACACAACAATAGGGGGTTCAAGGTTAAAGGTTTTTACATAATTTTATGCTACAACAAATTGCCCGTTGTTGTAAGATATGCGTGAAGGTTTCAAAGGGGGACAACTGGCACCTAAAAAGGTGTCCCATATTAGGGGGGCTCAAGTCAAAATATTTTACTACTTTTATTGTAATTTTTTTTTCCCAATTGCATAAAATTTACGCAAAATTTTATGCAATTGGGAAAAGTTATACGACATCCCAAATTTTTTTAAGCAGCAAATTTACGCAAATTTGCGTAAATCTGCTGCTCAGAAGGAGATCCGACAGAAATTTTTACGGTCCTTTTTACGAATTGGGAAACGTTTTTACAGCACAGTACCGTAAAAAACTTTCCCAAATTTTTTAAGAAAAGGCCGCAAAATTTTTGACTTGAGCCCCCTTATTGAAAACATGTTGATTTTACAAAGATTTTTTTTTGTGAACAACTTGTCCAGATTCCTGAAAAGAAAAACTCAAAACCCCCAAATGGATAGGTGGGACTGATCTTAACTTTTAAATCATGTTTGTTGGGGCTATGGAAATGATCAAGGGATGATCACCACTGTCCCTGTTCCAAAAGCATCAAACAGGTCCAGTACAGGTCCAGTTTATAATACACTCCAAGTAATGGGGCAGTTTGAGTTTGAGATTTGTAGGGTATGTACATTCACAGACTGGTAGTATGGATAAGGGATCATGGGTTTATACAGGGTTGAATATACCCTGTATGTCCCTGGCTTCAAGTATTCCTCATTCCTCATCTGGACTTTAAGCTTTCTAAACTCTACAAGGTACTGAGTGAAGCAGAAAAGGGGTGTCTATGAAGTAACAATTTGTACATCATTCTACAATATCCTCAGATGACAAAACTGAGCAATTAGGTTTACTAGGTGTTGACTTCGAACTAGCTGGTGATTGGTGATTGGATGCAATACATGTTTGATCTGAAAAGTGGTGATTGCTTGGTAATTCATTGTGGATGGAATGTACCAAAAAAGAGTCTGTAAGTGGTGATTGCTTGGCGATTTTTTGCTTGATAGATTGAACCAAAAATGTGTTTCACTTTGATTTGGTGAGTAGAAACAGCAAGAATTTGATTGGATGGTTGAATTTGATTGCCAACTTGTGATTGTTACAATTCTGATCTGATATTGAATTTGAATTTGATAACAATTACAATTTAATAATCTTGATTCAATCTTCAAAATTGATGACCAGTAAAATATATTGGTTGTTTTGATTACTTTGATTTCCATTGTGATTTTGCAAAGAGAATTTGAAGTACTGAAAAAAAGAATCACCACATAAAAATATCACATATACAGTGCTTATACCTGGGGAAATATTCATGTCATTTTTTGTGCAAATTCTGTGCAAGACATGAATAGAACTGGCACAGAGCTTTCATGCAGCTTGCAAGTTGGTCTTGCATGGTTTCTGCGCCAGTTGGAACACAATAGCTGGGGCCAAAAATTTTGATGTCTTTGGAAAACTTGCGAAAGGGCACTGCAAAAATAAAATCCAGAAAAGGATAATTTGGAAACTGGAATGAGGGGTCAAAGTGAAGATCACATTGAGGCTTCAGTGGGATTTTCCCAGTTCCATTGTAGGTTTGTAGAGCTGTTGGATCATATTTTGAATCACTGAGAAATATGTGATAAACGAAAGTTACAAAAAATAAAAAAGTTAGAACCAAGCATTCTGTAAGCAAGGGCACAGATCAGGTGTGAGCCAGAGGACTTGACCAATCTGGCAATCTTTTTAAAATCAACAGTATGTACTTATTTCCATGCTACAGGTGCTCAAAGGCCCAACAGCACCTGTATAATTCCACAAAAATATGGAATGAGTGACAAACACAGTAGACCTGCTCCACCACAGTAGGGCTGTGACCCGGCCCTGAGTGTGACGGGACTGCCTGGGGGCCGAACCCGGACTTGGGTAGACCCAAGTACCTTCAAAATATGCGCGGGGCCGACCAGGGCGTGCCAGAGTGGCAATGCAGGGCATTCTAGAAGTCCAATAATGGTTTAGGTCTGTCAGAATACAATCTTCCAACTACGGTGGCTGTGGAGCGCCAATTGAGTCAAAACCCCCAAAAGCGCAAATTCTACATGAAACCTCGGCAGAAAGCCCCGCTGAGCCTGTCCCGATCCTGAGTCCGCTGAGGTCCGCTGGCCTGGGAACAGGCTTCCCCTCATTCGACTTAATTTTGTGCAATTATTCAGCTTTCTATTCTCGTTTGTTGGCAACTCATCTATACTTTTTGAGTCCTGATTTTTCAAGTATTGCCGAGCAAGCAAAGAAAATGTAACCCAGAAATGACCATTCACAAATTGTGTACTTCCCCCCCAAAACCTATGAAGATCACCTTTCATGAAAGCATCATGGGGGTCTTGTTGAGACAATGATGATTATCCAAACACATAGTAACACACTTTACCATATTATCTGATGATTGGGATACATAATTTGTTCGATATGATGAAGGGTTTATTGATCAATCAACACAACACGGCTTTTCTAGAGCGGTCATTCAAAAAGAATCTTTTCGCATGCTCCACCTAACATATGAATTTAGGATGATCTCCTATAGCTGATATGAAGAAAGGGATGATTCACATTGATCAAGTTTGCTGCATAAGAATCGCACTGTCAAAGAGGACACCTGGGGGTGACAACGGGTAAAGTGCTGTCCGAGGCAGCGGACTCTGGGTCGGGATAGGCTCAACGGGGCTTTCTGAGGGTGTTTCATGTACATTTTTTGCTTTTTGGGGTTTTGACTCATTTGGCGCAAACTTAACCCGTCCCTCTCAGTCGCGCGAGACGCTCCCCGAGAGAGGGACTTACGGCTAAAGTCGAAATTCAAGCGTGAGACCTGACGGGGCATTTAGCCCAAACCAGTCTCACATTATAAAACCATTTTTCCTATTTATAAACTCCTCACGCCCCAAAATGAAACTTGTGCGCTGAGAAGAGGCCGACAACCTCGTCTAGTCCCTTCCTCAAAAGAGGCATTTGCCGAGGAATTATCCTGACAAAACCTCCGGGGCCGCAAGTCGGTGCTCTCAAGCGTTACAGCGAACAGATTTGCTGCGCGTCAGAAAGATTGAGTTTCAGGCGTACAGGGCAAACAACACTTCTACAATGCATTATCTTAGGGGTCTGGCATAACGCAGGCAAACTGCATAATACGCGCTGAGCAGTGTTCGAGATGACTCTATGGACTGAGTATTGTTTCATGATTATCAAGGAGACTGACTGATAACCACATTCTCAGCATAAGATGTTCCTACAACTGGCAAGGCATATAGCAAAATAAGCACGAGCAGAAACAGAACCACGCGTCCAACATTCTTCAGCCTGATCCCACCCAGTAAACCGCTGATATTGCAAGGAAGGGATATTAGTATGAGTAATTCATGCCTCTGAATTAGGAGAATGCTCTCGGAATCTACCTTGATCCCAAAACATTTTGATTTCACGGAGGGGGCCACGGGTAAGCACCGTTGTCGTTAATGTGAAGGTCGTTGGCCTGAGGACTCACAATCACAAAGTATGTGAGGACTCCAATGAAGAACAATATATATATACGTTTCACTCACCTCCGATTGAATGAACTCGTACCATATATGGTTTTCATTTCCCGCGCCGTGAATGAGATCGCGCAGGGCTTTGAACAGTCGAATAAGAACAGAGCAAGAGTAGGTTCCCGTCCCAAGAAAGGAGCGTCGATGACCCCATAGGCGACGGTGCTCAAGCAACGTGATAATAAAATCATACACGGTCATGTGTTGACTTTGAATGAAGCCAATGATGTTGCGACATCTGGCGAAGAGCAAGTCAGGACTGGGAGGCGGCTGGTGTGAGTACGTCACTTTGGTTAAAGGCCTGACGGAAGCGACAAAGTCTTGGACTGATAAGCCTTCAGAAATAATAAAGTCGGTGATGTTCGCAATATGCTCCTCGCGAATGATGTCGGCACGACGCTCCGGAATTCGTTCCTCGCGCTGATCGGCGCGCTCGTCCTCGCTGTCAGGAATTACAATGGACTCTGGGGTAGATCGATCCATGGTTGGTAATTAGGGGGTTGAAATGATGTCAATAACAGAGGAGACCCATTTATGTATACGGGGCAAGGGCCCCTCTCTCTATACCCCTTGGAACACCATGTGATCCGCTCGGATTAGAGTAACAATCCATTCCGAATGGGTGTTATGAGACAAGTGAGATTGTATCCCTTCAATCCGGCATAGTGGGATTGTTGGGATACAGTGTAGTTCCTTACAATGGATCCCAATGTTGAGAAGGAATACTCATCCGGTTTGAGCATTTGACACAAGTCGGGATACATCCGTTACGATCTTGCCCACACCGCCGACTCAGCACGAAAGAAGGCATATGAGCTATGATTGTGATATTTTTCACAAGGTGGGGGTTGATATTATCAGAATCCTTGTTATATCACCCGTCAGGAAAAACTGATAGTTTTTATTATACATCGAATATGCCACAACAACATCAACAACATAGCCAACCAACACCACCCATGTCTTTGACGCTTAGTCACACATTAGAGATATTGGCGCATATGTCCAAACTGGATTTTTCACCTAGGGATTTCATGTATACATTCTTCTCCTCTAATCACGCGGAATGCATATATCGCTGTCGCTTGATGAAGAACGGATCTGGAGAGAAACAAAACAAATCGATATTGAAAAATTACGGGAACCTTATCAAGTCGTCAGAAGTAGGGCTGCAATTCTGGGAAACATTCATTTTGAATGAGGTTAGTCGCGCCAACAAAGAAAAGACCGTTTTGTAAACATTGGTTAATATTTGATTGCAGGCATCCGCAATTGTAAATGGACAAGACGTGGTTCGTGGTGCTTACCCTAAAGGCGCATACGTCAGCTCGAATCAGATCCCAAGTGACTTCTTCAGCGAGAGTTCAGAAGCCAGACGCACTGAGAAAATCAAGGATGGAATGCCATTCTTGCATTCCTTGATTTCACAGAAAATATCAATGTCGTTGAAACACAAGGCGTCGAAACCGGATAGTCCATTTGTTAAACCAAATGACAACAGCTCAAGACGTACCTCGATAAATCCCAAAACCCCCAAAACCCCCGAGTCTGCGGTCACGAGACGTAATTCGCTCAACCCCACCGAACCTTCTGTGAAAGGGGATGAGGAAGACGAGGTGTTGTCACTCGCCAACTTGGTGTACGTGAAGTCGACACCATCTGAAGTGGCGGATCATAAAGCCCAGGAGGTAAGCCACACTTACTACAAACGTCTGATTGAGGGAAGATAGTGACGAAGTATTCGGTCATGCAGGTTCCGGTAGCGATTTGTGCCATGATCGCATATCAATGCAATCGGCGTTGCAATGCGGTGCCCCTGCAGAATGGTCTGATGGTCTTGGCCGGAGGTGTTTCCTGCAGGGTTAATGAATATTTACAATGTTTCGGTTTGACGACACAGGTGTTCCATGCTGTCCTCGACGCCATGGAACACCTGCGTATATCCCAAGAGGCCCAGCTGATGGAGGTCTTCAAAGTTAATCAGAAACTGTTGCCATTGTTATGCTTTGACAACGTAGACATACACTTACGCATCCACAACTCTCGTATTGATCTGTCTTCGAGGCTATTTCATGGGACTTGGGGTTTCTACACGGTTTTTCGTGCGGCGCTGTTGGCAAGTTGTGATGCTGAAGCTCTTTCGCTGGCTGTTTTTGTGGAAGCAATGAAGAACAGCGACCAAAAACCCGTGATGATTGACTCTTTCGCCCCTCGTGCTGGCGAATCTGTCCATTTCGAGGCTGTCATCAAAGCTCAACTTGCTCTGGCGTTAGTGGAACATGTCAAACATCTCCCGAAAGGGCCATCGCCTCAAGACCTACCTCCTCTCGCCGTAGCTCCTCCAAAAATTGACCCTATCGAGTTTCACACGCCGAATATACACTTTTTGCGCATGATGGATGCGCCGGATTCATCAGCAGACGGCGTATCCCAAGTGCTCGATCAGGTGATGACTCAGATAGGTATGCAGAAAGAACAATATGCAGAAAACCTTCTGGTCGCCGGCGGCGATGTTGGTTCGAACCAATTGGTCAAAAGTCTTCGAGGGAAGCTCCACCCGCCAATTGACTCGATTGAAGGCCTTTCATGGGTCCTCTCGGTGTTTGGACCTGCACACACAACATGGAACTTCGCCGAGGCAGTATGGGCCTTGCACTGGGGTAACTCGAACGACGGTGAGGACCGAGGAGCCTGGCGGTCATCCTTCGAGTTAGGCGGTGATTATAGTAAGCCTGTTGTGCAACAGGACTTCAATTCCATAATGAGGTCCATTCAAATCGTCCATAAAGCAAATTTGGTATTCATCATTAGGTAAGCACAGTGGTCTATGATCGTTACATGCCAAGGTCTCATTGCTGAGGACTTACCATTGCAGTGAAGTATTGAGATCTTTAGCCAAAGTCAATCTGACACAGAAGTCCGAATGCCAGCATGTCCTGGATACCGCTTGGAAAAAGTACTTTGCAGCATCGGCGTTGAGGGAAGCACAAGAGAACTTAGATTGGAACAAATATAACCTAATGCTGAGATTACGTGACTTTGGCACCGTTGTCGAGGCTCATAACGCCACTCGCGCCGGGGACATAGGACGTCTGATCGCCATGTGGAAGCGGTGGGCGATAATGGCACAAGGCCTCACCGGCCTATCTCATTATGCTCGGCACATTCCGCGGATGGTGTTGCTCCTGGAAGAGGATCTACCCCCCCAGCTCGCCCATGTGATCAAGCATTCCCTTCTAGTGCCATCGCTCGAGCGAGATGGGCATTGGATGCCCATTGATGAATTTCTCGAGGTGCATATATTCTGGCTCAAAGAGGTTTATAACAACACGGTACATCAGTCTTCCTAATATGCGACTTCGACGTCCACCGTGCTGTGTTTGACTCATCTTATTTCCCAGGGCCATGGCACCGATATTGAGCGACTCACATACCGTTATTCAAATAACATACCCATGGTAAGGGCAAACTCAAGTCGAACAAGTCTTAAAATTAAATTGCTGATCATCTTCTATCACTTCATTTGTTTAATACAGTTGCGCCGGCTCATCCAACTTATCAAAGCCCATTCGGGACACAAAATCATATTCCAGTCCAACGCCAATAAGATAACCGACGCCTCCATGGCCAATTTCCTTCGCTATGCAAATGAGAACCTCTCCCAAAGGCCGGAGGACCGTGTGCGCCCAATGGTGACCAACGTGTTTGCCACAGGGCTATCCAACATGATTAAAATCATTCAAACTGAGTCAAGCGAGGGTCAATCATCGCGATATCGGTGGGGCTCGTCGCGAGGGTACGAGGCTGATGAGGCGGACGGCGAATTTCCTGAGGAAGGCTAGAGGTGGCAGTCTGTCAAAGGCAAATGCAGCGGGGTTTCAGTCATCTCAAGAACCATCATGTGTATATAGAGTTACACATATCTCCCCAAGAACTGACCGTGTTGCAATTGACTCGTTTCGAAGAGCTGGATTCATTTGGTGAGGGTCCTGCCCGCTTACGTGTTCCTGAGCCCTTTGGGGCTCTTGTAGCTTGATTCTTCAACCTTTCTTCACGAGCCATAGTTCTCTTCTCGGCCAGACGCTTGCGTTCCTTGGCTTCTCCTTTGATGCGCAACCTTTTGGCATTCGCCAGTGCCGCTTTCTGTGCATCTGCAAGTTCTTTATCCGCCAACTAGCGCCAGTGCAATTACAGGCGGTCAGCATGATGTCCCAGGGAATGCGTGACCACCTCTCTCACCTTAGCTTCTTTCATTGCTAGCTTCTCTGCGGCATCTCTCTTTTTGACCAATTCCGTCCCTTCCACTGAGACCGGCACTTTGGCAGGTCCTTTACGTCTAATGTTCTTACGACGTTGAACAGCTTGAGCAATAGCATCCGCAGCACCCTCGAACCCTTCTTGCCATTCCACAAAAGAGGCAAAAAGAGTTCGAAATTGGCCTCCAATGATCTCGCCAGGCAGGAAGATCCCCAGATCGCTAGGATTTTCAATAGTGTCGATATTCATGGCCAGATCCCACGCGAGGGCATCGGAGAAGTAGTCCCATGGGCCGACTTCCGAGTCCTTAGGGTAAGAATTGTAAAATGAACCTTCAAAAGCTCCACGCCACTTGGTCACCAGGCTTTTGAGAGGTGAGAAGGACCGGATGTCGTCCTCCGCCCCACATCTTAGTAGTTCCGGGCGCGATGAGACCTGTGAGTTTGGAGGTGGCAACGGGAGGTCATCCAGCATTTGATTCAGCTCAGGTTCGGTCCATTGGACGGCTTTGTCGAAATTGTCCACAGTGAGGCCTTTCTGTCCAAGCCAGAGGGCCTCTGCCTCCTCGGGTAGACAATTGCTACAGTCACATGGGGGCATTTCGGCTTTGAGTTGACGCGACTCCTCTTCTTGTACAACCCAGGCATCAGTTTTTAAAGGTATATAGCTGTGACTTCATTCATTTCATATGTGGTATGTTAGTTAAGCAATTCTATATAGGAATTTCCACTGCTGAACCACTCACGCAAGATCCACCGCCAGGGCCACACGCAGGCATACTGGCGTAATGGCCAAAGCGTCCATACAATCGTCGTCGCTCATCACAGTGGGTGTGTGAAAGTCTTCGATTTGATTTTTCCCATTCGTACAAGTGTTTTCGACTAAGAGGATAGCCAACCCGCGACGACCATCACGCCCACATCTTCCCGCCATCTGGGTAAAGTTACATGGGTCGTGTCGGCCTACCACAATCACGCGGCGCACGCGGTGCCAATTCTGGCCAAGTCCGAGCGCCAGTGTGCAGCACATGACCGCTAGGGCACCGGCTACGTACGCTTCGACTGCTGAGACCTTAGCTCTGGCACCTGTGGTTGCATGGTATCGGCGAGCAAACGACGACAGTCCGTTGTTAGCTTCAGCAGGCTGACCACGAGCGGAGTTGATCAGGCGAAGAAATTCCAGTGTAGCGTTCTGAGTTCCAGCGTAAATCAGCGTAGGTGGTATTTCCTCATTAGATACGAGCGTGTGGTGTGTAAAGACACCTTTCAAGGCCGTTTTCATAGGGCGTTTGAAAGTTCTTCATATGAAGCGGAGTTCCGGCCTTGTGAGTTTGGCTTGTAAGATATGTATATCTTGAGGCTCAATCTTGAGGTTAGTCAGGATGGCTTGGATAGCTTGAGGCGTGCATGTCGCCGACATCAGAAGTAGTGGAACCTTCTCAGTTGCGAGAAAGCGTCGTGCCAGATCTCCGTAGCTCGGTCAAAAAGCACCGGTGTCCTGGATTCTGGCAAAGCTGGCCAGCTTTTTGGCGTGTCCGCTTTTGACCAGGCCCCACATATATATCATATGTGCTTCGTCCACAACCTTGAGAATCAGACGTGATTGAAACCTTCGATCAAGGAACATTTTTGAAAATATCGTGTTTGTCAAGGCCACCTCTGGGCTCTGCAACAACCAACATGGGATCAACTCTTGTCGCAGAAGCACAATCTTGATGAGAACATCCAAACACACACAGCCGACTCACCACATAAATGAAAGTGTATTCACCACTCAATACAGCTTCACATAGTTCTCGTGTGCAGGTGCCGCCGGTCATATTTACCGCTTTCAGGCTTACATGCGATTTTTCCAATACCTGGCAATTGTGTCCCGTCAATAGCTATTTAACTAGTGATAATGATTATAAGCAGTTCACTAACTTGGTCGTCCCCCAGCGAATCCAAGGGGTTCATGCTCAACACGATGGGGGAATCGGCTTCCTCATACATGTGATACAAGAGTTCTGGAATTCGGCTCTTTCCAAATCCTGTTCCGGCGAGTAAAAAGATCGTGCGTCCGTTGATGAGATTTATGACGCTCTCGATTTGTTTGGGCCGAGCGGGGTAGCCATATGTCTTCTTAAACAGGTCTGCAACTAAGCGCGCTTGGATTTCTTCGCTAACGTTTTGAAACACAGCTTTCAATCGAGGTTTTTGAATTGCTTGCGTGATCTCATTGTTGCCAAACAGCTGACTTTGAGTTCTGCTTTGACTCCTACGTAGCATATCCGGGTTTATGATATTTTGGTAGACCAAGGGTGAACCGGTCAAAGGCGAATGAGGTGGTATACGATTGACTATGGTGGTGGAATACGAGGTGACGTCAAAGTGACTTTGTGGATTTCACTCACGAGGAGCTAGGGTGGTCGAACTGCAGTTTGATCACCCTAGGTTCTGGGTTTTGTCCCAGAAAGTGGATTTTAGGACACCGCAGTCTTGTACGGCCCTGACTCATGCACAAATATGAGCCCCGGAGGTTTTGTCAGGATAATTCCTCGGCAAATGCCTCTTTTGAGGAAGGGACTAGACGAGGTTGTCGGCCTCTTCTCAGCGCACAAGTTTCATTTTGGGGCGTGAGGAGTTTATAAATAGGAAAAATGGTTTTATAATGTGAGACTGGTTTGGGCTAAATGCCCCGTCAGGTCTCACGCTTGAATTTCGACTTTAGCCGTAAGTCCCTCTCTCGGGGAGCGTCTCGCGCGACTGAGAGGGACGGGTTAAGTTTGCATTTGGCGCTCCACAGCCACCGTATCCAACCCTGTATACGGATTATGGTGAGATATGGCTGGCGGAAACAAGGCCGCCACCTCGGGAGGGTTGGGCGCCGGACCTGCCCGATGCCTCTGCGGGGCCAAGTTTACTGTCATTCAGCGAGGTTTGAAAAGCCCCGGGGCGCGTACCGTCAGCTCTGTGAGAGCTGTCGGGCAGAGTTGGCTGGCCGGGTCCGGTCCGGGTCACAGCCCTACACCACAGTACTTTTGTGCACCAGGATAAAGATATAATCTGATAATTTCCCCCAATGGTTTTGAAAATGAAGATCTCATTTCACTTTCCAAAACTTCTCATTCCATCATTCTGCTTTCTGGACATGATACAAGGCAAAAATAGCGAAACTCTTTTGTTTCAACTTTTCTTGCCCCATCCACCCTTGCCCCTTAACACCCAGAGAGCCAACCCAACCAGGAGCCCTGTGGCCTGTTGCCCCCCCAACACACAATGCAACTCAAATGTTTAAGTCTACATAGCAAAGGGTCTTATGAGCAAAGTACATAGTCTTTTTGTGTAGTAAAGAAAAGATGTACAGCATCAATAGATAAAAGAAATAAATACAAAGGTATATAAATACAATTGCCTCTGAAATAACTGTTACCCATACACCCAGTGACCCATACTCTTCCTCAACCCATGGTTTTCTGGCTCCATATTTTTTATGGGTGGGGGAAATGAGTCAAAAACCCATTACTCTAAAGTGAACCTTGACCCATAGCTTTGTTTTGGAAAAAATGTCAAAAACCACATAGAAGACCCTTGAGAACTGCTTTCGAAGCTCTCCAAATCCTTTGACTCCATCAATCCCACACAAATCATCACAAGTTCAATACATCATCACAAATTCAACTTTTCTGCCAACAAAAACAATTCCTACATCTTCAAGAGCTGGTATCATTGAAGATTCTTCATAAAGATAACACAAGGTCTGTTCCCAAACTCTTAAGTACCACCAATGAGCATGCAAGTGGCCTTGAGACCTGGACTCTCAAGGAATTAGTCAAGTGATCAAACAACACAACCACAACACAGATATACCTGCTGCAGAGCACTCCACACTTGAGGTACCTGCTGAACAAGTGTACTCTGATTTACTCAAGTCTGTACATGTTACATATCACATATCACATCACACACATATATTCTGAAGCAGTCTGAGCATATGGGAGGGCTTGCCATTGAGCTCTGCAGGTATCTAGTGTAGCACTCTCCAAAACACTATGTAGTTCAGCCCACACTTTTGTCTTTCCTTTCCCAGTCTTCTTCAATATGCAATAAAAGCGCACCGCAAGTGTGCCTTGCGTTATGTGAAAAAAACTCTGCAATAACCCATGAATCCATTGGTATGCCTGAAAACCCATGCTTTTGGTTTCCATAAAAAAGGTATGGGTTACCTCAGCTTGAGCCTTGAAATGAGAAAATAATTTATGTACAGACTAGATCACGAAATTTTAACGGAAAGAAACTGAAAGAAAAGATTGGTTTAAAGTTTGTTGATAACTTTTTTGCATTTACTCATTCATTTTTCTCGGTCGACCGACAGATTGCTCACGGTGCTTGTATGCATTCATAATTCGAAGAATCATTCAACTTCTTGACCATTCATCCTATGACGTCCTTGTCTCTTTCTCTCATCCCGTTCTGTTGACGTGAGACTTGAGTATATCAAATCAAATCAAATCGGCCAACGTATTGAGCGGTGTGCGAAAGAAAAAAAGACATTATGAGATATGTACACAAACATCTCGAGGTATCATCAAGTCTTTTAAAGATATTTGAAACCCCGTTCGTCCACCTCCGATTTATAACACCCTTCTGCGTACCCATCTAAATATCCCTTTCCCTTTATTTACACCGTTTAATCTACCGCAAATTTACACTCCTTTTTCACGTCATCACATCATCCTCAAGTAGGGATTGTTCGACTCATTGTCCCATCGGTTTCTGACTGCTCGACCAGAGCGCCATCGCGAGCCACATTCCAATGGCTCCTCACAATCACCTTCTACAATGCGTCTACGTGACGCTTTCTCTCTTTTGTCTGCTCTCTCAGCCCTTCGTGTGTTTGGGGGTCGATATGAACCCCATTGAAGAGCTGGAGTACCTCGTGAAATTACAAGATGGCGTGGTGAGTCTTTCAGAACCTTACTTCGTTTCAGCCTAGCAAGCCTCGAGTGACTTGATGTTGATGAATCTTTCTGACCCAGTCCGTAGACAGTGTTTGTGAAAAATTGAAAGAACAAGACGTCAAACACCAAGTGACAATGAAGATGGACACGAACGACCTCGTAAACCTTTTCACGATCAAACTCAAGAGTGCTTCAGACGCAGAAGTTCTTAACCAAAACCCCCAGGTCATGGTAAGAGCTCCGGACTGATCAGCTCCATATGCACTATTGCGTTGGAGCACGCGTCTTACAATCTGAACTTCTGCTTTATCAGAAAGTACAAGCCGTACAGACCATGAAACGTGCGGATCCAACGATGGGCAACACGTTGACTACCCAAGGTGTCAAGCCCACCAATAGCGCCTTTGGACCGCATCGACAGACTCGCGTCGCTGACATGCACAAGTTAGGCCGGTTTGGACAAGGGATAAAGATAGCTATCATTGATAGCGGTGTTGATTGCTCTCATCCTGCCCTGGGTGGCGGTTTCGGACCAGGAAAGAAAATTTCTTTCGGTGCTGATCTCGTTGGAGATAACTTTGACGGCCACACGGTGAACAACCCCAATCCCACCCCGTGTACGCCCTGTGGAGTATGTAACTTTTATTCTTTCAGGTGTCGTTCGTGATAATGACACTTCTGTGTGTTGGTCTCGGCAGATGCATGGCACTCACACAACCGGTATCATTGGTGCCGATGACGTTGGATTCGGCTTCAACGGAGTTGCCCCAAATGCTACTCTGGGAATGTACCGTACGTTGATACCAAACACGATGATTGCTTGTCATTGGAGCCGATGCTGATGATAAACTGTCTCGTTCGTCCTGTCACAGGAGGTGAGCTTGCTACTTTGTGTGACAGTGCCGTGTTGAAACGCTGATTCCACTCGACCACAGTATTTGGATGTGATGGCTCGGCCGGAACTACTGATGCTCTAACGGCCAAGGCGTTGCTTCAAGCCTACAAGGATGGAGGTTTGTGCTCATCATATCTTTCCGCGTCGTTAACCTAGCTGATGCGGATGTTTGGTGCGTGCAGCTCAAATCATATCTGGATCCTTGGGAGGTATTGGGGGTTGGTCCACAGGTGATATCCTCAGTGATACCGTCGATGCTCTTGCCGCCAAAGGAGTCATCGTCGTTCTCGCTGTCGGAAACGAAGGAAATGTGAGGCAACCGACACTTATTTCCATTCAAAGAAGCATATTTCTCTGACTCCCCCCGTCACATCGTCTCCCTGCGCTCGTATCGCATCCATAGGAAGGTGTATTCTATACAGAAACTCCAGCTGCATCTCCCTCCGTGATCTCGACAGGCTGGGTACAATCATCCACTACAGTCATGACCACCTTCGTGGCCTCCAACAATAAGGAGATGTCTTACCACTCTGCCTCTCGGATCAATGGAACTAATCTTAAGGTCTGGTTCAATCCTAATATTGGGCCGGAAGGTGATGCTTGTTCGCCCCCGGGGCCAGAAAGCCTTGATTTATCAAATGTAGTTGTGTTGATCAAAAGAGGGTTGGTTGTGACCTCTCAATACCATGTATTTATTGGCTTATTCGTTGACGATTGATTTCGGTTTGCATGACGTCAGTGTTTGTACCTTCATAACCAAGTTACAAAACGTCAGAAAGCGTGGCGCGCGCCGTGTGTTGATATACATGGTCAGCAGTTTATTGATGCGCAAATAGCTGATGGTGCTGAATTCAACTGACGTAGTTTTCTATCAGACCGACGAGAACATAGTAACGCTAGAAGGTAGGTTGCAAGGGATTGATCTTGGTACAATTTCGAATAGCGATGGATTGTACATCATCCAGCAAGCCCAGCAGGATCCCAATTTCTCACTTAGTTTCCCCGAAAGGCCTCATCTTTTTGGTTAGTGTTTTACTGACGAATTTGAAAGCGCCTACATGGGAGCTGAACTGTTTCACTTCTTTGTGACGCAGCGCCAGCGTACGACGCCGGACAAGTGAACCCCGCCTCAAACTAGTGAGACCCTAATTCAGCTTGCGTGAATCCGCTGTCTCGTAGTTGAACTGATTCAGTAAACAATTCTGTCCAGTGGGCCAAGTTTTGACTTCAAGAGCATCCAGCCAAACTTTTGTGCAGTCGGTGGAAATATGCTATGTGAGCAGAGTTCTTGAATCGCTGGTTATCGACGATAAGTGTGTATTTACTAGTTGACCTTTCTATCAAAGCGACCGTGCCTGTCAAGGATGGTAGCTACGTAAGTTGTCTAAACGCTGTCTCAGACCTTCGTTCTGCCTCCTGATATCGGTCAGTTATTCTCAGGCGGCAATGAGTGGATCGTCAATGGCCACCCCACAGGTTGGCTTTTTCCTTCCTATACTATTGCGGCCAATTTTATCTACTTCTCTGGATTGCAATTGATAGTCTTCTACTCACAGATGGCAGGTATTGCTGCTCTCGTTCTCAGTACCCGCACCGAAAAACTCAACATCCAACAATTGAGGGCCTTGTTATCCACCACGAGTCAAATGATTGTTACAATCAACAGCACTAGCATCCTAGAACGTGAGGTTTTGGTTCTCAGTACTCCGCTAGTCCAACATCTCACATGTACTCAACCATATTTTGTTGCGTATGTCTTTCAGCTGCAATTCATCAAGGTTCGGGCTTGGTAAATGCTTATTGTGCAGCATACACAAAGACGTTGGTATCAATAGGCTCGATGACTTTGAGGGATTTGGAGCACTTCACAGGAAGACAAGAGTTTACTATCACCAACGTTGGCACCCAGTCATACAGCTATACTATTGAGCACAGACCCGCTCAAACATTAGCCAGCTTTGCCCCCGGGACTAGCACCCCCTCCGCCAACCCTTTGCCCATCGATGGACATCCCCCTGCTAACATGCAAACCAACCCTCAGACGTTCCAAGTCGCTCCGGGACAAACCAAAACAATTGTTGTTCAATTCACCCCACCTCAGGGCTTGGACCAGAAAGTGCTCCCCATCTATTCGGGATATGTTTATCTGGTGTGTGGAAGATGGCTTATCATGTTGTTTTCGCCAGCTGACTCGCATACTTGGATGGTTTTGTTAGAAAACTGATTCGGAATGCGAGCGTCACTCCATTCCATATTATGGAGTTTACGGATCCATGAGGTCTCAGAAGTGTTAGCCATATCCGAATTCATCTTTGTCTGAGAGACACCTTCCTCACGTTATGCGAATTGTCTCTTTTTTAGATATCAATTACGGCCCCGACACTGAGCCTTGGACTCAGTATAAACTTCCGCGTGTCTCTAATTCCAACCGTACTACGCCAACGAAGCCCTTCACATTTGCAGCCGACGACGTGCCATGGATGCGATATAGACTTGACAGTGAGTTTAGCCTCTCTTACCTTATGGTCTTCGGCATCATGAATTCTTACGTGTTACTCTCCATTAGTGGGAACCCCGTGGTCACAGCTGGACCTGGCAACCTCAGACTCGATCTTGGGATCACGCGACCTAGCTCCATCGTCGGGTCCGGAGGTGTCTCTTGATGCTTACAGAAATATAAAACTCATCGAGAGTACTTTCCGTGGGGTGAAGCTCCTGGGACGTCTTGACAAGTCCAACAACACCTTTGCGAACCGTCCTGCGTTAGTAATTCATCATCTTTAGTCAACGATCTTATTCTCACATCCTCAACTTCGTTTTCTTCAGGGCAACGGTGACATTTGTACAGCCACTCTCCGGATTGATGAACCCTTACACTAATTTGACAGCGGCTGTGAATATCCCCGATGGTTCATACAAGATACTGTTACGGTGAGTTCATTTACACTTGGTAGCTCAATTATGCGACTCATAGAGGCTGACACATTGGCCTTTCAGTGTCTTATCCATCTTTGGTGACCCGACCAAGCCCGGCGACTATGATGCCTACCTGTCAGACGCGTTCACAGTGGCCCGTACTGGCGCCCCTACTACCATACCTGCTTAAGACAAGTTGATTGTACACTCTTGCTACATTGTTGCTTGTCGTAATCGTTTTTATAGTCGTTCATTTTAACTCGCTCCTATTGAAGAAGCCAGTTGTTTATTAAACTTTCTTGTTACATTGAGATGTAATTGATGGATATTTGTTCTGCACAAAACCCGCCTGGTATCTTACACCGTTAATTTAGTACTCCTAGGAGATGACATGCTAGGTGAGGTGTCTCACTTTTTACAAACTTAACCACTCTCCGTACAGTTTGTAACTCTCTTCTTCATCGCTGGGAGAGGAAAAGTGCCCTTGCATTGTTGTCCTTTGTCTTGTCAGCCTGCTCTTTTGGTTAACTTGAAAGTTCGTCTTTGGTATCTCTTGCAACTATCTTGTCGTTTGTTGATTTGATTGTTTTGAAGATCATGTACCCCGTAAAACTTTGAGGAAATCGATTAACATTGATATCCTGCAAAAGCACAACTCAACCGGGATCGCGTAAAGCAAGCGAAAACACAATAATCGGGTATCTCCTGGTCTTCTGTAGGTATTGTCATTGTTTGGTGTCAGCCATTCTTGACTTTGACGGGGTGCTTGGTGTGTTTGAGATCATCAAAGGGTTATCCCAGAAATAATCCAACCACAAATATGGCCAAGAATGACAAAGTCTGAAGATCATTGCCGTTGCCTCCTCTTCCGTAAACACCTGAAATGTTGAAATGCTAGGGTGTCTATGCCCTTGTTGCAGCTGAAGATCAAGTTTAAAACATTGGAAATTATTCACCAGAGGGGTTGGAAGGATTCTATTGAAGTTTGTGGATAATGATGAGATTCCAGACTGTCCCAATCTCAATCCTTGGTGAACCAAGAGTGTACAGGTCCTGGACTCAAGTACACCAGGGGGTAAACCTACGGCAAGAAAACGGTTTTCGAAACCGTTTTCTTGCCGTCACGGTTTTAAACTACTTGTGTCGTTTCTGAGACGATTTCAGATGGGACCGCACGAATGCGGTTCCCATCACCATTTTTGGCGGTGCAAGCAAACCGCCTTGGTGACCCCTGAACACGGTCCCTGGGACGTTCTGAGGTACGGCGTAGAGTTTGCAAAAAGGGGATCAGGCAGCGAGACTTGAACACAAGCTCAAAAACAAGCAAGGGCAACACCCGAGTCTTTTGCCTCTACACCATAATGGACATATTGTTCACAGATGGGAATGCAATTCATAACAACTCGCCAAACTGACATGACACCATGAGGATGAGGACGAGGAATTGACAAAAGAAACTCCAAGCTATCTTCCGTTATGATAAGCGAATTGGGAGAAACCGTTGTATTTCAGATACAAGTCGTGTTGTCAACAAATCCTTGGATCTTGTAACATCAAACAATTCAAAACCTTCTCGAGTTGTTTTAGTTCAAGTTAGATATCTGAAGATCTTGGGTACCATCTTCATTCGGTTTAGGATACAATAATCCAGTTCCGTTTAGACGATGCTCACATGGTCTAAAGCTCACCAAAACCTTTTTGAAAGCGCAAGTGAGTTGATCAAATTTACATTGGGTCTTCTTTTCTCTAGAGTTGTCAGAGCAGTTAAAGGTAGAATGAGACTTCAAGAGGATCAAAGGACGAGTGATAGGTTCCATGCTTCTCAAAAAGATGGGTGTAGAAGATGAGAAGGACATTGGTTGAGTCCATTAACCATTTCGATTTGATAGGTGTTCGAAAAGTATGTAAGGAGGTAGGATTATCAGAAATAGAATAACCAAAAGTAATGAGAAGAAAAGAAGAAGACTATGTATGTTCGACACCGATTGCAATCGGTGTCGAACAAACCGCTTCACCACCGCCTCAGCAGCCGTTCTCAAACGGTTGCTGACATGCAGCTCGTTCCAGAAGCGGTGGTGGAACGGTGTCCAAAACGGTTTCGGCGAAACCGGTTCCACACCTTCCTGGGTGGTTCTGGTGACGAAACCTTTGAAATCGTCACAGGAACCGGCCGAGGCCGAGGACCATTACCCCCTGGTGTAGCTTGTTGTACTCTTCTTGTAGGAATATCTCACACTTGACAGACCCATGGAAATGTAATAACCACACAGAATCAAATGAAAAGAAACATTGGGCTGCTAGCGTTGGAAGAGTTAGTACTCAATGAAAGCACTAAACAAAACAAGATTCTGCAAAAACACAAGATGTGGCATATCTTCAGAATCACAGACACTGAGAAGGAGTCTACGGATGCTGTAAATTCATATGTTGAAACACTCATATTTTGTAAAACACTTTGGTCTACCACAACTAGACATGGTCATGATATTTCAATCCATGCAGAGTCAGACAGCTCTCACAGTCACACTCAAAGGCAACCATGATAAAACCTAGCTAAACTTTGGAAGTCCCAGACTTCAATTGTCCAAAAAGACTGTTGAATATAACTTTGGCTAATCAGACCCCAACAAATGATATCTAGCCACATCCCCACAGACCTAAATTTTGATGCCAACAATTGGAGATGTCTCTCAAACATTGCTTATCCATCATAGTCTTATGGCAGAAGCTTGTACCCAATAATAGCTGTCAATATGTACCATCCTGGGGTTGGAATCCTCAGCCATTTTATGCGTCCAGAAAATACAAAAAGAGATATAAAAAGGTAAACATCAAAGCTGCAAATGATTAAAAGTGGCAAGAAAATAAGTCATTGAGTCTTTTTGAGTAAGTATTGAAAGTAGGTATTTCTGTGAGGAAAATATCTCCCTGATCACTTGATTTGCAAGTGCAAGGATGTATGAGAGACGCCAGGTATCCTCTGGATTGTTTTTTTAATGGGGCACTGGTTGGAAGAGTGTTTCTTGATTTTTCTCAGCACCTCCTGCACCTCTCTTTTTTATCACCAGCAACCACCCTCAATGATGTATGGTATGTACTTTCACTGTGTTTTCCCTCCGGTACTCAAGATTTCAAAGGTACACCAGCTCTTGATCACCAGAACCTTTTTTCACAACTTATTGGTCAAACTGGTCTTGTTGACATATGTGTAACAGGTTCCCAAAGGCACGGCAGCACCTGTTTAGTTCCATAAAAATTGAGGATGAACAAAGTAGAATAGGTCTTGGTACCTGTAAAGAAGTATCAAAACAGACACCACTGTTGTCCCACTAGAAGCAATACCGGAATCGCTCCGCTCCATATAGTGGTTGCGGAGCGATAGCGGAGCGGCCAGGGACTCCGCTATATACACCGATATATATAGCGCAGCCTGCGCTCCGCACACAAGGACCCGGAAAACTCATAGCGGAGCTTTCGCTCCGCAACCCACCTGGTTCAGGTGTCCTCCGCTATATAGCGGAGGAAACAAATACAGTAAAAAAAGGATTAATCAAGAAACAAAAGAGTAGCGATATGATGAAATTATCTCAACATCGAACAACAACAAACTCGCTTGCTCCGACTAGATCATGATGGCCAAATTCAAACTATACAGCGTGTGAACTTTAGCTCAACACTTTTTTCCATTGATCGCATTTTTCAACACCTTTTCAAGTCCTTGATCATCATGATAAGATGAAATCCAACACCTTCTGGGATACATCAATGTAATCAACCTCAATCACAACCGAATTAAACCCCAACAAACCTCAACAAATCGAAGACAAATGTAGAAGGATTTGGTCGATGTGATCCACTTCCTTGAGGAGGTTTAATTGGTAAATCATTTTTCAATCATTTTTGAACTTGAGGGCCTGTTGCCAATATATTAATTGTAGGTGTTTACTTTGAATATAAAGATCAAGTAAATGAAGGCAAATCCGTATCGTTTTGAATTCGTTTATTTAAGACTGTTTGAATTCAAGTTGTCATGTGTTTAGGACATATCATATTTGTTTCAGCATGTTTTTTATTCAAACAATCTTACAATCGATACCCCTCAAAGATCATCAATCTATGAAGCGCAATACGCTTGACTTTCCGATTCCAACACTGCTATTTGTCTCTATGTGGATTGATTTGGTTCCACGCTTTTCAGCATTAACATCAAGAGCATTTGAGATTGAAGTACATAGCAAGATCTTCAGGAAGCAAGTGTTTGTCAGGCAAGTGATGTGCTTAATGTACCAAGTTTGTGGACCAACGAGTCGATTTTGCCACTATCAGTAGGAATGATAGGCTTTTGAAAGTATGGAGAGACCAGGTACACATAGATTTAACATGTCAAGCATGTTTTCTCTTACCTTCTAGTATGCTGTACAGCAATGCATTTATAGCGCGCTATATAGCGCAAAAATAGCGATTTTATCGCTCCGCAACCTTGTCCGAATTTTTTTCTCATAAATAGCGATATGATAGTGGTTCCTCCCATAGCGGAGGCTCCGCTCCGCAACCAAAATGGGCCAATTTCCATAGCGTTGCGGAGCGATTCCGGTGTTGCTAGAAGTGGAGTACACAAGGTGCGAATTTGGAATTTTTTTCCCTAGCAAAAAAAAATCACTTCTTCATCCCATCTTCACAAGACATCATCACGATAGATTTCAAGAGGTATAAAACATCCATTTAAGCTCTTGCAAATTTTTCTTTTATTTCATTTACTATACCTTAGAAATCTAAATGAAAGATTTAAAATTATCAAGATGTCAGCTCAAGATTACACAGACAAGTGTGGAGATTTAAGTTTACAAAGAAAAGGAGAAGATCAAATTACATCAGTTGAACAAACTCAAGGAGCATCAACATCACTAGAACAAAATATGTTGACCAATACCAATCAAATTACAGCAACAAATGATCAACTTACATCATCAAATGTGATTATAGGAAGAATCAGAAAAGCAAAAGGGAAGCGAGTAGAGAAGAAAGAAGAGAAAGATGATGGAGAAGAAAGTTATGAGGAAAGCAAAGAAGAGACCAGTCATGGAAATCAACAAGAAAAGAAGAAAACTAAGGTTAATGCGGTAGAACATTTGATAAATAGCCCAGTAGAAAGAGGAGTACTCACTGGTTTAGGTTAGTTATATTCAGATCAGATCACAATAAGAACCCCCCTATTCCTCCAGGAATCAGTTTGGCTCATTTGTGGCAACTGGTTACGTGTGCTACACATTTTGGCCTGGAGGCCTGAACTTGCAGAGTGTTTTGGCCCGGGGCAGAGAAAGATAGAGAGCACTGTGGGTGGCCACACTTGGAGCTGAGACATCCCACTGTGATGCTCCCCGCTCTAGTTTAGAGAAAAAAGCTACAAATGAAGCGCCTGACATGTTGCACCACTTGGAACTTAACCCTTTGCTTGGCAGGACGGGTGGTGGGCGGAAAAACAAAAAAAGAAAAAATACTGAGATTAAGAACTATTACTGAATAATAACAATGATTTTGAAAAAGTTGATAGAGGTAAGGAAACTGTAACACTAGTTGAAATTGAAATATTTTTTCTGGATTTTTTCAGGCACAATTTTTAGAGGAAATTGATAATATTCTAGTACACAACTGTCTTGAATCAGGAAAGGAAAACAACTGAGGCTTGCAACAGAGTCGGCACAACTGGACTCATTGGGGGAGTTTGTCAAGAGCCATTTCTGTTGCACCTCTTTTGAGAGTAGCTCACACTTGTAACCTTGTTGCCGAAGTGTCATTCACCATTTCACAGATTCCACTGTGTTAACATTCCATGCCAACTTCGATTCTTTGGGGGCCCCCTCCAATTCCTTCATTCTGTCACTCCTCTGTTTCCTCTTCTGACCATTTCCCCTTTTCCTCTCCATGTTCCTTTATGTCCTATTCACTCTGAAACCCATACCCCCCCGGGCCCCCCTCCTACTTTTGTTGTTGTTTTTTACTCCACTTTGCGCTTATTCCAATGAAGTCCCCTTTCAAAATTCCAAAAAAAAGAGATCTTGAAGGGATCAACCTACAAGGAAATCACATAGTGATTGACCAAACAATATCAAAAGTCCCAATTGACCAAACATACAAGGAAATTGGACAAGGAAATGAATATGATTGACCAACTGATTGACCAAATAAACATTCAAATTGAAAGGAAATATCTATAAATTGACGGTCTAAAAACATCTCTATCAGTTAAAAATATTGTGATACCCTCTTCCCAAAATATATATATATAAAAGAATAGAAATTGATTAAACTTTGGTAATTTTTGCCCACAAATTCCTGGCAGATTTATAAAATACACAGGTAGACCAGAAGAGGACATGAGTGAACCTGTTCATATCAAACTAGGACACAAGAAATGGGCTCATAATATAGAGGCAGCAGCAATCAGATTTGACTCCATTTGGTTGAAATTTTTAAAAGAACAGTATAAAGAGTGGTGCAATGAAGAAAATACGGTACAGAAGAAAGTAGACCTACAAGATTTAGACTTTGAAAGATTTGGTGCTGTGTTGATCACAAACACGGTAGAGAAGTCAACACCTAAAGAAACATTGGTAGTGAAGAAAGATAGCAATACTAAGATGGGAGTCGGAATGGATATGTGCCATTTAATGACGAGCTTAACAAAATACTGGCATGACACAATGATTAACAAGAATATCCAGATGCCAGTTTTAATTTTCAACCCAACGTGGTTAATAAATGATACAACTTTCATGAGATTCGAGAGAACTAAGCCAACAAGTTGTACATCAGATGAAATACGTTACATCGGTTCACCTGTCTTACATGAATTCCGATTAAGCTTTGCTGAATGGATAGTTAAATTTAATTTGATGATAAAGTATCAAGCCGACAGATACAACAAATTAGAAGGCCAAAGAGACTCACCTATTGCGCCTAGATTAGTGGCAAATAGGGATAACGTACTTTGAATCCAATTGATCACTTTGGTAACTGGCCTATTGCTATGCGTTATGACATGGCACATCAACGAAATATTTGGGTAAATCATTTAGAAGATGGATCTATGGCAGATGTAGGAACATTAAATCAAGCCTTAGTAAATCAATCAGAACATGACACAAAGCATTATGGTGACTAGTGGTATGTCAATAATCCCTTTGTAGTTGGAGGCCCAATGCAGAATATAGGACCACATGATGGTATGACTTACTCAGAAAACAACTCTTGGGATGTAGCAGGAGCGATGGTAGATAACTCAGCTGAAATGGCAACAGGTTGTACGATGTCAGTCTGGAATAAACAACCTAATGTCCCAGTGGTAGCAGATAGAGCAGTGAATAGACACGTGATGAGAAGTGGAAAGATCAGTCCGTATAAGGGCACCAAGTTCAACCCAGATTATCATCAGAAGCAACAGAATAAAACAAGTTGGAATCAGACCACTCAAAGAAATGGTTACACACCTTATAATCATAATCAGAACAATGGTTTTGATGTTGTAGAACTTATAACCCAACAAGGGTTATACAGAGCTGGAAGAGGATAATCTACTAATATAATGACTAGTAGAAGTTGTCTGAGACTGCTCTTCTAAAACAACACAATCAGAAAGAGGCACTGTTGTATTGAGTACTGATAAGGCACCAGAGAAATATATTTTTCAAAAGGACAGGTCACACAAATTTTATCTCGAAAGCACTATTTTTATTACTATCAACACTGTTATAGTGTTATTCCCAGATGATAACTAAAGAAAGTGAGCAATATCTTTGTGATATTATTCTCAAACAGTCTTTTTGAATACAATACTAAAGTAAATTTCTCTTTATAGCTATAACAACGGGTGTATTTAAGTGACCAGGTACTACTAAAATAAGTTTATGATGACAAAAAAATGATAAATGCGTAAATGATAAAGGAAAAAGGGGAACAACAATCCCAAAATCATCTCAAAGTATATATCACAATGTGCTACAACTTTTACAATGGTCAACAACATCAAAACCAATCAATTCCGCCCAAAAATCCCTAAAAACCCTATAATGACGTAATGTAAGAGCACCCACTGTGGGTGCGGTAACTAGGTGATTTAGCATAACTTTACCGCTAAAATACACACAGGTCCACTATGGGCCTGTTTTAGACCTGTGGTCCGTACAACTGCATCAAGTCTTGCAGCCCGCTTGTTCAAATCTACGCAAGCCTACGACTTGATCTATTGTAGGACTTCATGCATCCAATCAGTCAACAACTGCATTATCCAAAACCTCACCTTCAAAACCTCAACCTCAAAACTTTCAACTTCAACTTCAAAAGTCAAAACTCAAAACTCAAACCTCAAAACTCAACCTTGAGTGTTCTTTACAATCTTCAATTGGTGTTTTAATTTGAATCATATTTCTTTCAATCGGTCCTCTCAAAACCATTCCTAAACGATTCAAATCTTCATAATCTTTACGAATCAATCCAACCAATTCAGATTTTAAATCATCTAAATAGGGTCTTGATCAAAGAAGTATGTTGTTTTGATAATAAGAATTCATGTGGATTGAAATCATCTGTTCTGAATAATTCACAATTCAAAATCAATCATGAAATTGTAGATTTGACTATGTTAAAAGGGAATCTTTGTTTAAAAATGACTTCATATTTAGTGTTATGTGTGAAATAGTCATCATATAGCCTCTGAGCACGTCAAGCGTGGTCTCGATCAATGCGAGTCTGAGGAGGTGGAGGAGGTGTGTGAGGTTTTGCAAACAAGAAGTTAAAGACCAGTTGGTCACTCTAGTTGTTGTTCCTCATTGTTGTTGGCAGACTCCAAAAGACCGTTGATCTCCCTTTTCCAGGAACTTGGAGCAGGCATTTGATGGATATTTTGTTGGATGAAATTTATGAGAAACAAGTTATTTCATTTCAAAATCATACCACTGTGGATCAGGTTCATTCACAGTGATTTATCGTTGGTAAATCATGTGTTACGTCAATCCATAGTGGAATTCATGTGGTTACCAACTTTGGTAAAACATGCATGATTAAATTTCGCACTCAGGACCGCAAAATCTAAGATAAATCACCCTCATGATAGTGGGTGCTCTAATGATCTTATTACTAATGTATGATATAACTTTCACAGCCAAAATTCATCAATGACGCAATAATATGATGTAAAGCACATCTTATGATGATTACAGGGGATTTTTTCCTTGTAAACTAGCTGAAAACCAATTTTTCAGATGAGGTCCAATTTTGGATTACTAAAGTGCATCTTGTAGAGCTTGTCATATCGATCAATAAATGGCGCCATATCAGGGATTTCTGATGAGTGATGAATGAGTTATTGAGTTGTAAAGTTAAGGTTTTTGGTGTTACATGTATGCTTGTGACTGTAAATTCAAGATTTACACCAATTTCTTATTTGCCTTGTAACCTTTTTCATACACCTCCGCTACTAGTGATTTAAAGTTTGTGCATCATGTAATCCGCTCTCCCGCGTTGAGTGAGCTATTTACCAACATAATCTAATGTCATTTGACATATGTAATAAGCTGAAAGCCTTCATTTTTGACAAAATTCACCCATTTTCACTACTTTTCACAGCTGCTACTCGTCTTTTCTTGCTCATGTAATATGAAATCATTCTCTATAACCTTAAAAATCCTGGAAAAACATCTTGGCAACCTTAAATTTCACTATTACCACTATCACATATGTAAACTACACGTATAACCCTTGTTTACCAACTTCAAAAAAGTACCTTCCCTCTAATAACCTCTGTTTCTCCTTATCAACCTTCAAGATTAAAATTTTTACAGTATAATATGATGTTTTTCTTCACTATTCTAAGCTTACTAAACCCATAAACTTAATATTACTACCCTAAAAACTTTTTCCAAGCCTGTATACCTATATTTTTGAATTTTTCTCATGTTTTTCTTTCTGTCTTCTTGTAATAAGATTGTGAATAAGCTCTAATGATCTTAATAAGTATTATGAAATAAAATGATGTAATCTTGACCCAATGATCCATACATAAGCCTATAACAGCTTCAATTGATTTAAAAACCTCCATTTTGAATTTTCCTTCCTGCTAAACTTTTCTGGTAAACTGGTAGACCACTAATAATAAATTTTTCAATTGATCCCATAGATTGAT